ATTGCATTATTTTGGAAATATATTTTAGTCCACTAAAATAAGACTAAAACTAAATTTAAATTTCTTGCCAAAACAAACACTGATCACAATGCAGGGGAGACAATGCAATATGCCACGATACAAAAACCAGACTATATTTGCATTTTTCAGACATCGCAAGATCGCGTTGTTCCATCAGAAGAAAGGGCGTAAAAACCTGCTGCCACCTAGCTCTCGGAGCTTGAATAGCAACGCACACAAAAAATACAAAAAATGTTAGCATGGCAATTCTAAATAAAAAAAATCTAATAAAACACAGCTTTAAAATATCCATTTGGTATTAAAACATGAAATACTGTGATGTTTCTGTGAATCGATGCTTTTAACATCCCTATTATTGTAACTGGAATGGTTTTAATGTGAAAGAAAATAAAGTTCTGGTGATGTACACAACAGATGGCCGTTGTATCGTAATTTGTTACCATGGTGACATCCCACATATATTACAATACATACATTAAACAGGTACGTCTGCAGCAATGCCATTCAGCCATATAAACTCAGTAACCATGAGTGGTTTGTGGAAGAATAGTTAAAGAGAAACAACGGTGCCCGTCAGCACCCATTTTAACAACCACAGAGTTTTCAGTTGTCAAACCGAAGATTAAAACTACCAATCTGACAAAATTATAGCCTGAAACAGAAACAAAAGTCAACAGCGGCCACAATGAATCATGCCCTGAGCTGGGATTATAAGAGATCGTAAAAGACAAGAAAGATAATCCACCAAGAATGTGTCACATCTGATTACAGCTGTCACTCCTCAGCTGGGATCAGAGTGATGACAGATGAAGCTGCTCTTACTGAGGACACACTCATGCAAGCTGCCCTCTGTTTTAATCCTTTGAGAATAATGAACTCATGCTAAGAATGTAAAATACTTGTGGCATCTGCGCCAGTTTGCAGAGACGATTCTTTCTTGGTATTTCTGAATGCCAAATAGAACATGTCTCACATCAGATGCTAGTGATTTTTCCATTTGACACTAAGAACGTGGTTAATTCTTGATTTCGCCACTCATGTAGTCCTTAAAAAGGATCTTTGACACATCATCATGGGAACTCAGAACATCTCTGAGACAACATTACACACAAAGCAAGGACACACGGTACTTGTGAAAAAACCAAAATAAGCACAGAACTGCTTTAATCAGGCTTCTGATCCCACATCTAGTCCACCAACAACGATTACAGACAACAGTATACACAGACTGTAGCTGAAGCTAACAGGGAGAGCTGGACACGTGACATTTATTCTCTAAATCCAGAGCTGTGATGACGGTCAAACAAATATACACAGCTCTGATTATTTATGGAGCTCTGGTTGCTCTAAAGCAGGCTTCTGTGAAAAGCTGACGAACAGTTAACATCCGACCTGTTAGACAGCTCGTAGACTACCGAAACAGGGGCGAGTTCTGATTGGACAGTAACATTTAGTCAGAGTGAAGTCATTATTAAAGTGGACCGCCACCATCTCAAAACATCGGTAGGCTCAAATAAACACTTAATGAACATCATTCCTGCTTTAAGTCTCATGCTGGACCAGAGCACTAGAAATCTAGCTGCTCTTACAAACAATGACAAATTCTATGAAAACTCCCAGATAATGTGAAGTTTATAGCATCTAAATTGCATGCATGTAAACAATTATGGTACTTCTAAAAAGCAGAGCTGCTTTAATATGACCATGATGCACGTTGTCAGGGCCCTGTTGTGACTAGCAGTTAGCTTGTCAGTCCAGTCACACAACTAATCTCTGTCTCTCCAAACTGAGGCCGTTTAAACATTCCACCAAGCCCTACAGCAAACACACAACTATTGCGTCAAACAATCACACAAACTTAGATTTTGATCAAACATTTTTGAAAAGATCTTATTTATAGGAACTTTCTTGATGAGCTGACAAATGTCTGTTTTAATTTATGTTTGTTAACATTTATAGTGTAATTAAGCAATTTGGTTTTAAAATATCAGGAAGCTGTACATACAATGCTATATATTTTATAGTTTTACTCAATTAGAATACTTTTTATCTTGAAAGAATAGACAAGACAACTTTATTTATATTTTTGATATTTTCAGTATTTCTCTCACATAAATTGTAATGGACCTTTTCTTCCTTGTGCTCAAAATATTAGAAATAGTGGAAGGTTTGCTTTAGTAGAAACATCTCAAATAAACCAAGGTTTTTAAGAATAAATGCTTTCATGAGCCATTCAGCTTTGTTCATGAGCGATGAGGTAGGTTTTTATGATGCTGCTGCACAGAACATGAGTTATGGAAGTTCATTATAATCAAAAATCACTGCAGAAGGACATCTGTCAAGTAGTTTAATAAACCATTAGCTCGTCGGATGACAGATTTTCTTCCTTCTCTTTGTTGCACAGTCCATGCCCCTGCAGAGACATATGTATGTGAGTGCTAATGACTATGATTAGGGAAGCCTGGATTAAGCCCTGCTGTGGTTTAACACACACACACACACACACACACACACACACACACACACACACACACACACACACACACACACACACACACACACACACAGAGAGAGAGAGAGAGAGCGAGAGACAAACAAAGCTCTGTTTTGTGTAAACTTGGGGGGGAAGAAGCCAAAAACCAGAAAACAACACCAAAAGATGAACTACTTAATTAAACCTCCAAATACATGCAATGGGTTTTCCACAAACCAGTGCAAAATAACACAGATTAGAGTAAACACAGTTGAAACCAACTCATTACTCATGTTCGCAGAGGGAGTCTCTGGGATAAACATCTTAACAACGTGGGTGTGCTAGTGCGGCACAGAATTATCAACAAGGGTGCGTTTAAATAAGACATGATCATTTTGATGACAAAAATAAAGGGCTGCTCTTATGACCCTGCACTTATGCTTGATCTTCATTTCTATACTATATAAAAGCAAAAAAACAAAACAAAGGTCACTAAAACGTGTAGCGCTTCACTGTTCAGTCACACAGCCCACGTCTCAACCTCATGAACACTACTGGTTTTCTTCTGAATAAACTAATTCCCATTTGGAGCTTAAAAAGCTAATATTCTGCACTCAGTGGCTCAAAAAGTCAGATGAAATTAGACTCAAATGTCTGGACAAGTTACAGTAGCAGTGACCACCTCAGATCAGCCAGTGAGTCGAGGTGAGGGGCAACAGGTGGCCGTCAACTTAGAGATAAAGAGGGTCATCATCCACTTAGAGGAGAGTGGCGAGTCTGTCTGTCACTCCCCAGGCTCCTCTAAGCCAAGCCAGGCACCAGCGGGCTGGAATCGGGTAAACGCCAGAGATCTTCAATGCAGCCATAATGAACGACGACCTGTTCCACCAACACTTTGGTTATAAAGTCAGTGAACACATCCCAACAACATGATCAATGGCAATGTTGCTTAAATAAGCTAAGAATTATTAAAATATTTTAAGTATCAGTTACATAGCAATAGCATCACAAATAAACCCTCTCCGTGATCCACATGACCAAACTTGATCCACTTGTCAATTCTTCTGCATCTCACAATACTTTAATGAGCGTCTGAGCCCGTCATGCATCAGTAGGTACAATCTAATACCACAGAATGTGCTCAGATCGTTTGAACCTCATCTGAATAAAAAGTGTCTGTGTCTGCTTTTCTTTCACTGCAAAAAGAGAAAACAGCCAAGAATACAAATCAGACAGTCTGCAGCTTAATAACCTTTGCAGATCTTGGGTTACTTCTGCACAGTAGGAGGGAGGGAGTGATTAGGAAGATTATGTTTTCCTCCTTTTTCTGCTACTGATCCAAACATAAAGAGTTCCTAACAAACTCTGCTCATTAATTACGTCTAAATAGCTTGTTTATTTATTTGATGCAATACAAAAAGCATTGAACAAGTTAGCAAAAACAAATAACACCTACTTATCAGCAGTGTCTTTCCAGAAAGAGGTGGAACACGTAGGCCAGTGTACTTAAACTAAAATCTGAAAGCCAACATCTGAATCACATTGAGCATGCATGTGTCTGCGCACATGCTGAGCGTGTGCGTGTTTGCATATGTTTTCACTCAGCTCTTTGTGCTAGTTGCTTCACATTACTCAAAGGACACAGGACACGATAACTCTCTCTGGACTGTGCCAGATCTTTGTTTAGAAAAGCAGCTGAAATGCTGTTAATTGTCACTTAAATCGGGATTTTTGACTCTGTCACACAGCTGCCACTGTGCAAGTTCAACGAGGACCTCAAGGCAGCATTTCTATGGTGAAGGAGGGAACGTCACAACCGGGGCTTTAAATTTCTTCAGCTAGGCCCGACATAATTCCGACGTCCGTTGGAATCTTCGGGCTGCCTGAGAAACTTCTTTAAAAACGTTTTAATTCCTTACGATCCATGCAGCTCTTCCTGAATGTGGCTAACGCTGACGGTGGTAAGGAATGTTTGGAGCTCTGAAGCTGACCAAATCTTGCTGCTACTGGCATTTTCTCACATCTGTGTACAACTAATGAAAATACAAACATTGGAACTCCAGGGTTTGTTTTGCTTGTCGCAAGTAGTGATGTATTTCTGTCCCCCAATCAGTGGACCGTGTTGTTTTGATGGCGCCGCTCCGCCCTAGCCGTATCGCTCCATTGTCTTATGAACCTATAACTGAAGGAGCCCATGAATGTCTCAGGAAGGGTGTGGTGCGGATTGGTTGTATCAGGACAGACAAAACAGCAATCTGACCTGCCCCGCACTGTCCTGCACCCCACAGTGGAACCGAGCTGTAACTATAAACCTTTTAGAGTCCCGGACAAGCCCCCATCTGTTACCACCCTGGCTTGTGTGAGAATCCACCCAGTAAAACTTCCCATTTCAAATGTTTTATCATTTATGTGGCAATAATGCCCTACAACAACCTTTCAGGACTTTTTTTGATACTTTTAAACTAAAATATCTCCAGGTTACAGTGGAGTCTGGTTTGTCACTTACCAATGCAGGCATGAACTCTGACTGAAAGCTGTGTTCGAAGAATGATGCTGTGCTTCTTGCCCCTCCTTAAAAAGACAAACAAACACACACACACACACACACACACACACACACACACACACACACACACACACACACACACACACACACACACACACACACACACACAAAGTGTTATAAGCAGGTTTAAAACATGAAGATGATTTGTTCTTGTTGGTGTTTCTGTGAGTGTTTTATCCAATATCAAAGACATAAAACGCAATAAGAAATTTAAAGGCCAAGTTCACTGAGAAACTATTTTATGCTTGTCATTTTTAAAATATGATCGACCACTCTGAGATTCACATGCAGGCTGAACGTGAAAATAGTCTTCTGCCCCTTTTTCCTGCTTTAGCCATCGATACGAAAAAGACGAGGAAACACTCAGGCCAGAAAAAGCCAGACGGATCCACATCACACTGAAAATTTGCATTAATGGACTCAGCCATTTTGGCTAAAAATGAGGAAGGCAGTTGTGGAACAAACATCCATGAAAAAACGGAGCATGTCTTGACTAGCAGAAGCTAACCTTTAGCATTAGCAACTCCACAACACGGCAGAACTCCTTCAGTCTTGTGTTATTTGTGTAAATAAAACATCAGCGTTGCAAAGCAAACAGAGCCAGTGGTAGAGTCATGTTGCTGTTAGCCAATCAGAGGAGAGATGTCCAATTATCAGGAAATAAGACTCCAAATCCTGTTGTGCTCTGCTCACCTCTCCTAGGACTAACGTCTAGATCCTGAAACAATGGCACGAGAGCAAATTTCCCACATCGATGGACTTTTCACGAGGCATTTTTTTTACAAAAGAGACCACTGCAAATTGTATTAAAATGCATGACCTTGGTCTTTAAAGCTTAAAACCATGAAGTATTACCCATATCTTTTTTGCACTTCTTCAACATTTATTGTTAAAGTGACAAAAAACAAAACTGGAGAATTTTCTTCTTCGGTTCAACCAAATGAGGGGAGCAGCTTGGAGGTCACATCCACCCCTTGTGTTTATGGAGATATGCCAAGACCCTATCACCATCCTGTCAATGTTTACAAGGACTGAATGGCAATCCTAAACAAAGAAAGCAGCAATGCTCCTTGTTTCTATTCAGTCATAAAACCCCAGTGCAGTTTGGAGTCTGCAGAAATATAATATGCTTATTGAAATGTCTACTTCCAAGCATGAAGCATGTTAAATCTGCAGTTTTGAAAACTAACGTTAGCAATATGTTATAATATGTTGAAAGTAAAGAATGTATTGCATGGTACACAAAGCAGTGTCACTAAATAACATATTTATTTCTTAAACAGGGACTATATCTTCATAAGTATAGAACAACAATAATATAGACAAGACCGCAGCTGCTAGAACTGCACAACAACCCGTTTTTACTCATTCAGACAAACACAGCTAGGAGTTTTTCTGACTTAAAGAGAAAAGTTCCCTCAGCATTGAAAGAAGCTCCAACTGTCACAAAGCAGCAGTTTAAGACTGGCATCATGACATCAGTGCAACACTGCTTTCATAGTCACCAAAACAGATTATATGGCAGGAAAAGTCTGCCTAAACTCACAGTTTTCAAATATAGCATCCAGAAACAAGTAGAGGCAATACAGGAGCAACATCTGTCAGCATAGGCCTTCACCAGTGAGGTGAGACGTCAAACAGGAACCTAATCCTCTGTGATGCTGCTGAGGCAAATGGGTAACTAGTGCCATTTTGTCTCGAATGTCTGCGTTCTCTCTGCTTCTGTGCAACAGTATCCCTGCGCTTACCCAGAACATGAGACTACACAGGCTAGCATGCTCGTGATCAAATTAAACCTGTGCATGGTCAAAAGACCCGTCTCCCACCAATTAAAAATGAAAAACCATCTTGTGACGTGGCGTTGATGAACAAACTCAATATTATGAACGGCTCTTTAACGGGGAGCTGAGTCCTTGTAGAGAATAGTTCATTCAGCCTGTCGTGAACACCTCGTGCACCTCTAGCTCTCAAGACATCAGAGGGACCCCCACCCCACCCCACCCCCCCAGCCCCCTCCACTCTTTGAGGTGAGTGGTTCTTAAAGAGCAAGTCACCCCCTACAAGGGTATTCCACTTTCACTTCCTGTTTGAACAATGCAACAAATGCTGTAACTTGTCCTTATATTTAACCTTTTCTGGAATGAACTTGACCCAGTCCTCAAAAGGTAAATGATACATGACCCGCACTTGTATAGCGCCTCTCAGAGTAAGGACTCCAAAGCACTTTACACTACAGTGTATCATTCATCCATTCACACACACATTTACACACTGATGGTGATGAGCTACGATGTAGCCACAGCTGCCCTGGGGCGCACTGACAGAGGCGAGGCTGCCGAGCACTGGCGCCACTGGTCCCTCCGACCACCACCAGCAGGCAAGGGGGGTTAAGTGTCTTGCCCAAGGACACAACAGCAGAATTCTCTGTCTGGAGCCGGGATCGAACCTGCAACCTTCCGATTACTGGACAACCCGCTCAACCTGTTGAGCTACTGCTGCCCTGTGCAGAGGAAATGTCACCTGAATGTACCTCTGTTTCACCATCACTTTCCTGATCAGTGATTTCCAAAACTGACCAGATGTTATATCTGTTCAGCTTCACAAAGGTGTACAGGGCTCTTGCTGACATCTTGTCTTCTAGCTGATGACTCATCTCTGTCCATACTGGGGCAGTTGGAGTGGCTATTTTGCCATTTTGGAATATGGCCTCTTTTGAATTGCAAAGGGTTTCAAAAAGTGAGTCTCTGTCTACAGATGGCTTTCGAGGCATCTAAATCAGAATTAAAAGAAAGTAAGATTAGGATGGATCAAATGGTGCCTAGGCTATATAATCAGCATAGAAAAACCCAGTTCTCCACCAATATACACATAGAAATATTTGACCATTTGTTTTTATCATAGTGCTATTAAAATGTAATGTAATTAAATTAAATGCTATTTAATTGTTTTTATTATTCTGTCTGAATATTGTTTTATACTTTAACATGTACTGTATAGCACTTTTGTTCAGTGTCCTGGCTATTTTTGAATTGCTTTATTAAGCCTAATTAAGTTTTCCTGAATTAGCAAATAAAAGCATCTGTTTCTAAAAATATTAAATGTTTAAAAAAAATCACACTTTCTGGCTTGTTAGTGGATTTTAATGTGTACTACATCCTGTATTAACTTAGCATGTATAGTTTAATTTCAATTCTCTTACCTTGTGCAGAAAATACCATGGGTAGTAAAACAAATCCAATAAAAACCTACTTTTTACACTTTTTTTCCAACCAAAATCTTTGTATTGATGGCAACACTGCTAGCTTGTTCGTTTGTGGAAAGACATTCATGTAAATGGTGATTGTTCTGCTCACAACAAAGTAAAAAAAATAAAATAAGAGTTTTTCTTTGTGCTATGTTTTGCCCTTGTACTAGTATTTGCAGCAGGGTCTGTGGGACGGTGGTTAAGAAGGGTAGCCCTTGGAGATTGGTGGTGGGTGTTTAAATCCTAGTGGTGTACTTATAATTTTTTGACTGATATCTCATATTGATGAAAGAAAAATATTTGTAAAAGTAACATTGATTACTACTGTATATGTTCAACAAATAAAGATTATTTAAAAACATAAAGGAGACAGGTTTTCTTGCAAAACTTTATTAAACTCATTTACGAATAAAAGGCACACATGGTATTTGAAAAAACCTTGTCAAGCATATATCTCAGAAACCGTTGCAGCACAAACGTCAGTTTCACCTGCACAAATCAGCACAAATCAGCACAAACGAAGCACTAAAAAAGTAGACTGCTGTGGTCCATTTTGGAGCAGTTTGGAGCAGTCCGCGGGGATGGTGACCTCTGAATGACCTATTAAATAAAGTTTAAGATCTCAGAAACCATAGCAGCACAAACGTCAGTTTTACCTGCACAAATCAGCACAAACGAGCAGCCTATGGTATTTGCCTCCACTTTTGAAGCTGACGGGGGTCAGCTTCACAGAGCTGGTGTGGAGCAGTGGGGAAACAGAGCAGGGGTCTGCTTCATTTACAAGTGAAAGAGCCGTTTCACCACCTCTCTTTATATTTTGTAACGAGCCACAGAATAAACTTGCCTCTGGAGTTTATGATGGTTTTAACTATAAGAGCTGGACTAAAAATAAAAAAATGAATCAACTATAATGTTCCTCACAAGAGAATTACACTTTATTTAGGATTATACAGCTATATCAGTTTATCTCCTTTTAGTTGAAAGAGAGTTAAATAAGCTGCTCACTTAGAGATTAAGTGTTAAAGTTTCTCATAAAAAACAGTCATATTGCTTCAGGTTGTTAGTAATGTGTTAAAAGTCTGCAACAAGGTACCTAAACGATGGCAGTACTTTCCTGTGCGATACTACTATAGTATCACTGTGTGTTATTACATTTAGTCAGATAATTATAACATGTTAGCTAACTCAGTCTTAAGCCACACAGTGGTCAGTAATTTTGCTATTAAAGTTGTGACAGTTGGTGTGAAAATCAGAGGACATCATGTAATCAGTTTTTTTGTTGTCCTTCATTGTGGATTAGGTGAAAAGAAGGGAGTAAACTGGTGTGAGGAGAAGCAGCCAGAGTGTTTATGAAGCACAAAACTGAAGTTGAGAGAAACTCCCTCAGAGCGGAGATAGAAGCCGGTAACGAGGCAAATGTTAGACATGTGGCTGGTAAAATGTTTCCACCCCGATCCCTACTGAATACGCGAAGGCCCCTAAAGATCCGATTCATTTGGTGGAAGAAAAATAATAAAGAGATCAAAACCAATAGCACTTTCGCTGCTCGGGACTTTTTAAAATAAAGGACTTGAGTAACTATCTGCTCTGGAGTCAAAGAAAAGCCCAATTCTAAATTGCCCAAAGATGTTTGGAATGTGTGCAGTTTACAAGACGAGTGCCTGCTAACAAACAAACATTTACAGAACATGTCGATCAGGTCATCGCTGCTTTTGAGGAGGAGGAAGTGGGAACCCGAAAAGAACCGTGCAGCCTGTTAGT